GGGAGCGGGGCGTCTCATCTTGGGGCCACCAGCTGTGGGAGTGGGGCGTCTCATCTTGGGCCACCAGCTGTGGGAGCGGGGCGTCTCATCTTGGGCCACCAGCTGTGGGAGCGGGGCGTCTCATCTTGGGCCACCAGCTGTGGGAGTGGGGCGTCTCATCTTGGGCCACCAGCTGTGGGAGTGGGGCGTCTCATCTTGGGCCACCAGCTGTGGGAGTGGGGCGTCTCATCTTGGACCACCAGCTGTGGGAGTGGGGCGTCTCATCTTGGGCCACCAGCTGTGGGAGTGGGGCGTCTCATCTTGGGCCACCAGCTGTGGGAGTGGGGCGTCTCATCTTGGGCCACCAGCTGTGGGAGCGGGGCGTCTCATCTTGGGCCACCAGCTGTGGGAGCGGGGCGTCTCATCTTGGGCCACCAGCTGTGGGAGTGGGGCGTCTCATCTTGGACCACCAGCTGTGGGAGTGGGGCGTCTCATCTTGGGCCACCAGTTGTGGGAACGTGGCGGCTCATCTTGGAGTAATCTTTCTAACATTGGGTCTTCTAACATTAACCGTGATGGCTCAGGGAGTCCCGACCCACTGTGAGAAATCAGTTCCAAGCTGCTTTCTCCTTCCTAATGAGCTCTTGGGGGGGGGGCGATTCCTTTCATTCAGGATCATTTTGTTATCTGTGGTTCAGCGAAGACACTGCCTTTGACCTCTGCCTCAGGCAGCTTAGGCAAGACGTCTTGAAGGCACCTCAAGGCTCCCGACTCCTTATCTAGAGCCGATACACATTGTCTCATAAATCCAATTTTTATGTGCAGTTTTGGCATCTGAGTTCCCCAGTGGCTACTACTGGACATTTAAGTTAATCCGCAGTGGATTAAATGCAAATTCCCCAGTCCCCCCAGACTGGGGGGACTGGGGAAGAGGGGGGGCTTGAGCCAGGCAGACAACATGGTGGTGTGTCTGCTGCCAACAGCAGACACAGACACCTGTCAAGAGTCATATATATACACCCAAGACAGGCACAGACAGCTGAACACCCCCAACAAGCAAAGTTACCGGGGACAGTTTTACTGAAAGGTAATTGGCTTCTGACAGACGTAAACACACCAAACTGATGGCCAACACAGAGCTAAACAGGAGGACCAAACATGGACATAGAAACAGTGGAGGCAAAGAAGGGTTCAAGTGGCAAAATGTATGGGTAGTTAAGACTACTAGTGTTAGGACACCCCCACACTACACAGGGGGGACCCCACACTACACAGGGGGGACCCCACACTACAGGGGGGGACCCCACACTACAGGGGGGACGCCACACTACACGGGGGGACCCCACACTACAGGGGGGACCCCACACTACAGGGGGGACCCCACACTACAGGGGGGACCCCACACTACAGGGGGGACCCCACACTACAGGGGGGACCCCACACTACAGGGGGGACCCCACACTACAGGGGGGACCCCACACTACAGGGGGGACCCCACACTACAGGGGGGACCCCACTCTTTAGGGGGGACCCCACTCTTTAGGGGGGACCCCACACTACAGGGGGGACCCCACACTACAGGGGGGACCCCACACTACAGGGGGGACCCCACACTACACGGGGGGGACCCCACACCACAGGGGGGGACCCCACACTACAGGGGGGACCCCACACCACAGGGGGGACCCCACACCACACGGGGGGGACCCCACACCACAAGGGGGGGACCCCACACTACAGGGGGGACCCCACACTACAGGGGGGACCCCACACTACAGGGGGGACCCCACACTACAAGGGAACCCCACACTACAGGGGGGACCCCACACCACAGGGGGGACCCCACACCACAGGGGGGACCCCACACCACAGGGGGTACCCCACACTACAGGGGGGACCCCACACCACAGGAGGGGGACCCCATACCACAGGAGGGGGACCCCATACCACAGGGGGGGGACCCCACACCACAGGGGGGGACCCCACACCACAGGGGGACCCCACACTACAGGGGGGACCCCACACCACAGGGGGACCCCACACCACAGGGGGACCCCACACTACAGGGGGGACCCACACTACAGGGGGGACCCCACACTACAGGGGGGGACCCCACACTACAGGGGGGGACCCCACACTACCGGGGGGGACCCACACTACAGGGGGACCCCACACTTCAGGGGGGACCCCACACTACAGGGGGGACCCCACACCACAGGGGGACCCCACACTACAGGGGGGACCCACACTACAGGGGGGACCCCACACTACAGGGGGGGACCCACACTACAGGGGGGACCCCACACTACAGGGGGGACCCCACACTACAGGGGGGACCCCACACCACAGGGGGGACCCCACACCACAGGGGGGACCCCACACCACAGGGGGGGACCCCACACCACAGGGGGGGGGACCCCACACCACAGGGGGGTACCCCACACCACAGGGGGTACCCCACACCACAGGGGGGACCCCACACCACAGGGGGTACCCCACATCACAGGGGGGACCCCACACCACAGGAGGGGGACCCCACACCACAGGGGGGGGGACCCCACACCACAGGGGGGGACCCCACACCACAGGGGGGTACCCCACATCACAGGGGGGACCCCACACTACAGGGGGGACCACACGCCACAGGGGGACCCCACACTACAGGGGGGGACCCCACACCACAGGGGGACCCCACACCACAGGGGGGACCCCACACCACAGGGGGGGGGACCCCCATACCACAGGGGGGTACCCCACACCACAGGGGGGACCCCACACCACAGGGGGACCCCACACCACAGGGGGGGACCCCACACCACAGGGGGGACCCCACACCACAGGGGGGATCCCACACCACAGGGGGGACCCCACACCACAGGGGGGACCCCACACCACAGGGGGGACCCCACACCACAGGGGGGGGACCCCACACCACGGGGGGGACCCCACACCACAGGGGGGACCCCACACCACAGGGGGGGACCCCACACCACAGGGGGACCCCACACCACAGGGGGGACCCCACACCACAGGGGGGGACCCCACACCACAGGGGGGGACCCCACACCACAGGGGGGACCCCACACCACAGGGGGGGGGACCCCCATACCACAGGGGGGTACCCCACATCACAGGGGGGACCCCACACTACAGGGGGGACCACACGCCACAGGGGGACCCCACACTACAGGGGGGGACCCCACACCACAGGGGGACCCCACACTACAGGGGGGACCCCACACCACAGGGGGGACCCCACACCACAGGGGGGGGACCCCCATACCACAGGGGGGACCCCACACCACAGGGGGACCCCACACCACAGGGGGGGACCCCACACCACAGGGGGGACCCCACACCACAGGGGGGACCCCACACCACAGGGGGGGACCCCACACTACAGGGGGGGACCCCACACCACAGGGGGGACCCCACACCACAGGGGGGACCCCACACCACAGGGGGGGGGACCCCCATACCACAGGGGGGTACCCCACACCACAGGGGGGACCCCACACCACAGGGGGACCCCACACCACAGGGGGGGACCCCACACCACAGGGGGACCCCACACCACAGGGGGGACCCCACACCACAGGGGGGACCCCACACCACAGGGGGGACCCCACACCACAGGGGGGGACCCCACACCACAGGGGGGACCCCACACCACAGGGGGGGGACCCCACACCACGGGGGGGACCCCACACCACAGGGGGGGGACCCCACACCACAGGGGGGGGACCCCACACCACAGGGGGGGGACCCCACACCACAGGGGGACCCCACACCACAGGGGGGACCCCACACCACAGGGGGGGACCCCACACCACAGGGGGGGACCCCACACCACAGGTGACCCCACACCACAGGTGACCCCAACCTACAGGGGGACCCCACACCACAGGGGGGACCCCACACCACAGGTGACCCCAACCTACAGGGGGACTCCACACCACAGGTGACCCCAACCTACAGGGGGACCCCACACCACAGGTGACCCCAACCTACAGGGGGACCCCACACCACAGGTGACCCCAACCCACAAGGGGACCCCACACCGAAGGCCTGTGTGCAACGTTGCAAGGGGGATAGTTATGGGCCCCAAAACTGAAGTCATATGCATGGCTAGCAACAGCTGTCTGTGTGTGATGGGGGGGGGGAGGGGGGGCAGGGTGATCAGGGACCTTGCGAAGCCTCCAAAGTGCTGCATTGTTTGTTGCACGGAAAACATACGTTTCATTACCTTGCACTTGCCGAGGTTGAAATCTTGAAACCTTTTATTGAACCAATCCCACAAGTTCCTTCAGATTCTGGAGTTACGTGTTTATTTTTCATTTAGATTATGTACACACACAGTATATATATATATATATATATATATATATATATATATATATATATATATATATATATATATATATATATATATATACATCTTTCCAAGATCATGGTGGCTTTATTTAATAAACTGTTTACGAGCAAATCGAAATTACTGATATTTATAAACAACCACGGAAGGACTTCTCATAAACTGTTTAAATCAGTGTAAGCAAAGACACCGTGGTTGTGCAAAGATGTAAAGGTTTCGTCAGTAGGTGGGTGAGGACACTTGGCCTTGGTTACTAGGTGTACGAATACTTGCAAACTGTTAATAGGTATTATTGCTTGGGTCTTTAGGTAGATTACTGAAGTGGGTAGGTGTGTTAATGGGCTGGTGTGTCATTGGACAGGTGTGTTAATGGGCAGGTGTGTTAATGGGCAGGTGTGTTAATGGACAGGTGTGTTAATGGACAGGTGTGTTAATGGACAGGTGTGTTAATGGACAGGTGTGTTAATGGGTAGGTGTGTCATTGGACAGGTGTGTTAATGGGCAGGTGTGTTAATGGGCAGGTGTGTTAATGGACAGGTGTGATAATGGGCAGGTGTGTCATTGGACAGGTGTGTTAATGGGCAGGTGTGTTACTGGGCAGGTGTGTTAATGTACAGGTGTGTAGTGACAAATGTTGTCTCCCACAGGCAGTGAGTGAGTGGCCGGGCGCTGTGATGCTGGGCCAGCGGCGGCACCCTCTCCCGCCCGCCCACGCCCCGCCCCACGCCCACAGACAGCACATCGTGGGCGTGCCGAGCGCCGGCGCGCCGGGGGTGGGCGTGAAGCTGATGCAGGAGCCGGGATTCGCCGCCCACGACACCCACCTCTACACCCGCGACTACCAGCAGCCGCCCCGCCACCGGGTGGAGCCCGCCGCCGGCCGCCCGCCCGAGGGCTACCTAGCGCAGGGGCTGCTGCAGGGGGCTCAGGGCGGGCTGGGCACGCCCTTAGGGCTGAGACACCCCGCTGGGGGAGTGCCCATGGCTGAGGACGACCCCAGGAGGCAGCGGGCGCTCTCCCCCGGCTCCCAACACTCCGCGGCGGCGACGTTCTTCGCAAGGTAAGTTCAAGCCCCGTTCCTGTTATTTCAGCTTCTGCAAGCACAGTGCCTGCTTAAAAGCACAGTGCATGCATAAAAGCACAGTGCATGCACAAAAGCACAGTGCCTGCACAAAAGCACAGTGCATGCATAAAAGCACAGTGCATGCACAAAAGCACAGTGCATGCACAAAAGCACAGTGCCTGCACAAAAGCACAGTGCATGCATAAAAGCACAGTGCATGCACAAAAGCACAGTGCATGCACAAAAGCACAGTGCATGCACAAAAGCACAGTGCATGCATAAAAGCACAGTGCATGCACAAAAGCACAGTGCATGCATAAAAGCACAGTGCATGCATAAAAGCACAGTGCATGCACAAAAGCACAGTGCCTGCACAAAAGCACAGTGCATGCATAAAAGCACAGTGCCTGCATAAAAAGCACAGTGCATGCACAAAAGCACAGTGCATGCACAAAAGCACAGTGCCTGCACAAAAGCACAGTGCATGCATAAAAGCACAGTGCATGCACAAAAGCACAGTGCATGCACAAAAGCACAGTGCATGCACAAAAGCACAGTGCATGCACAAAAGCACAGTGCCTGCATAAAAGCACAGTGCATGCATAAAAGCACAGTGCATGCACAAAAGCACAGTGCATGCATAAAAGCACAGTGCCTGCATAAAAGCACAGTGCCTGCACAAAAGCACAGTGCCTGCATAAAAGCACAGTGCATGCATAAAAGCACAGTGCATGCACAAAAGCACAGTGCATGCACAAAAGCACAGTGCCTGCATAAAAGCACAGTGCATGCATAAAAGCACAGTGCATGCACAAAAGCACAGTGCATGCACAAAAGCACAGTGCATGCACAAAAGCACAGTGCCTGCACAAAAGCACAGTGCATGCACAAAAGCACAGTGCCACACACAAAAAGCACAGTGCCTGCATAAAAGCACAGTGCCACACAAAAAGCACAGTGCCTGCATAAAAAGCACAGTGCATGCACAAAAGCACAGTGCCACACACAAAAAGCACAGTGCCTGCATAAAAAGCACAGTGCATGCACAAAAGCACAGTGCCACACACAAAAAGCACAGTGCCTGCATAAAAGCACAGTGCCTAAAAGCACAGTGCCTGCCTTGTAAAGCACAGCGTCAGCAAGCAGAGTGCCTGCAGGGGCAACATGTGCAGGATCCCTCCAGCTATCACCATGAAAAACAAACAAACAAAACCCACAACAAATCATAATAATCATAACATCAATCAAAATAGATGGATGACCTTGATGGCGCCCCCAACACGCGCGTGTGTGTGTACTCACCTAGTTGTGTCTGCAGGATCGAGCATTGACTCTTGGATCCCGCCTTTCGAGCATCGGTTGTTTACAGCAATGACTCCTGTCCCATTTCCCTATCATACCTGGTTTTAAAATTATGAATAGTATTTGCTTCCACAACCTGTTCCTGAAGTGCATTCCATTTCCCCACTACTCTCACGCTAAAAGAAAACTTCCTAACATCTCTCTGACTCATCTGAGTTTCAAGCTTCCATCCATGTCCCCTCGTTCTGTTACTATTCCGTGTGAACATTTCGTCTATGTCCACTCTGTCAATCCCTCTGAGTATCTTATACGTTCCTATCATGTTCCCCCTCTCCCTTCTTCTTTCTAGTGTCGTAAGGCACAGTTCCCTCAGGCGCGCCTCATACCCCATCCCTCGTAGCTCTGGGACGAGTCTCGTTGCAAACCTCTGAACATTTTCCAGTTTCATTATATGCTTCTTCAGATGGGGACTCCATGATGAGGCGGCATACTCTAAGACTGGCCTCACGTAGGCAGTGTAAAGCGCCCTAAATGCCTCCTTACTTAGGTTTCTGAATGACGTTCTAACTTTTGCCAGTGTAGAGTACGCTGCTGTCGTTATCCTATTTATATGTGAATCAGGAGATAGATTAGGTGTTACGTCCACCCCCAGGTCTCTTTCGCGCGCCGTCACAGGTAGGCTGTTCCCCTTCATTGTGTACTGTCCCTTTGGTCTCCTATCTCCTAGTCCCATTTCCATAACTTTACATTTGCTCGTGTTGAATTCTAGTAGCCTTTTCTCTGACCATCTCGGCAACCTGTCCAGGTCCTCTTGGAGGATCCTGCAATCCTCATCTGTCACAACTCTTCTCATCAACTTTGCCTCATCCGCAAACATCGACATGTAGGACTCTACGCCTGTAAACATGTCGTTAACATATACAAGAAATAGAATTGGTCCCAGCACCGATCCTTGTGGTACTCCACTTGTTACTGTTCGCCAGTCCGACTTCTCGCCCCTTACCGTAACTCTTTGGCTCCTTCCTGTTAGGTAGTTCCTTATCCATGCTAGGACCTTTCCCCCCACCCCCGCCTGCCTCTCGAGCTTGAACAGCAGTCTCATGTGCGGTACTGTATCAAAGGCTTTCTGGCAGTCCAGAAATATTCAGTCTGCCCAACCATCTCTGTCCTGTCTTATCCTCGTTATTTTATCATAGAATTCCAGAAGGTTTGTTAGGCACGCTTTCCCTGTCCAGAACCCATGTTGGTGTTTGTTCACAAACCTAATGTTCTCCAGGTGTGCAACCAGTCGTAGCCTAATTATTCTTTCCAGTATTTTACAGGGGATGCTTGTCAGTGATACAGGTCTATAGTTAAGTGCCTCCTCCCTATCGCCTTTCTTGAAGATCGGCACGACATTTGCCTTCTTCCAGCAACTGGGCAATTCTCCTGACATAAGTGACTCATTAAAGATCATTGCCAGAGGCATGCTGAGGGCCTGCGCTGCTTCTTTTATTATCCACGGTGATACTTTGTCTGGTCCAACTGCTTTAGTTGCATCTAGAGTTGTCAACTGTTTCATTACCTCCTCTGCTGTCGCCTCTATATCTGATAGTCTTTCATCTAGGATAACCCCTTCCAACAATGGGAGCTGCTCAGGCTCGGTCGTGAACACTCCATGGAAACTGGCATACAGTGCCTCGCAGATTTCCTTGTCGCTTTCAGTATATGCCCGCTCTGTCTTCCTTAGTCTTGTCACTTGGTCGTTCACCGACATCTTTCTTCTTATATGACTGTGTAGTAACTTAGGTTGTTTTTTCGCTTTGATTGCAAGATCGTTCTCATAGTCCCTTTCCGATGTTCGTCTTATGTTAATATAATCGTTCCTAGCTCTGTTGCATCTGATCCTGTTGTCCTCTGTCCTTTGTCTTCTGTACTTCCTCCACTCCCGCCTGCTGGCCATTTTTGCTTCCCGACACTGTCTATTAAACCGTGTGTGTGTGTGTGTGTGTGTGTGTGTGTGTGTGTGTGTGTGTGTGTGTGTGTGTGTGTGTGTGTGTGTGTGTGTGTGTGTGTGACAGAACACGAGACTGGTGCTTGTTTGGATAAACATTTCTCAGCCACTTGGGCTGGACGGTATAGAGCGACGGTCTCGCTTCATGCAGGTCGGCGTTCAATCCCCGACTGTCCACAAGTGGTTGGGCACCATTCCTTTCCCTCCCCGTCCCATCCCAAATCCTTATCCTGATCTCTTCCCAGTGTTATATAGTCGTAATGGCTTGGCGCTAGCTCCTCATAGCTCCCTTCCCTTCCCTTCCCCCTTCCCCTACACCCCATCCCCCCAAGGTAAACCCCCTCCCTCAACCCCCCCCTACCCGTCACTCAAACCCCCCCCCCCCCACACACACACAACAGACCAAGGGCTCAACGCCCCCCAATCACCGAGCGACAAACCAGTAATTAACGCGAGGTTAGCTACCCAGTGCCAGCAACAACAGCCCCGTCGATCATTACCTGTCCTGGACGGTAATGATCAAGTCTCCACACCGTCACATTACCCCCCTCCCCCTGTCCCCTTACCCTTCCGTCTACACCTGTGTATAAGTGACCAAACAAAGCAATTAACGGTCAGGAGACAATAGTTCCGCTTGAGAATGGTTCAGATCACAATACAACGGTGAAGGGGACACCTGTGTAGGTGAAGGGAGAGGACACCTGTTGTAGGTGAAGGGAGAGGACACCTGTTGTAGGTGAAGGGAGAGGACACCTGTTGTAGGTGAAGGGAGAGGACACCTGTTGTAGGTGAAGGGAGAGGACACCTGTTGTAGGTGAAGGGAGAGGACACCTGTTGTAGGGGAAGGGAGAGGACACCTGTTGTAGGTGAAGGGAGAGGACACCTGTTGTAGGTGAAGGGAGAGGACACCTGTTGTAGGTGAAGGGAGAGGACACCTGTTGTAGGTGAAGAGAGAGGACACCTGTTGTAGGGGAAGGGAGAGGACACCTGTTGTAGGTGAAGGGAGAGGACACCTGTTGTAGGTGAAGGGAGAGGACACCTGTTGTAGGTGAAGGGAGAGGACACCTGTTGTAGGTGAAGAGAGAGGACACCTGTTGTAGGGGAAGGGAGAGGACACCTGTTGTAGGTGAAGGGAGAGGACACCTGTTGTAGGTGAAGGGAGAGGACACCTGTTGTAGGTGAAGAGAGAGGACACCTGTTGTAGGGGAAGGGAGAGGACACCTGTTGTAGGTGAAGGGAGAGGACACCTGTTGTAGGTGAAGGGAGAGGACACCTGTTGTAGGTGAAGGGAGAGGACACCTGTTGTAGGTGAAGAGAGAGGACACCTGTTGTAGGGGAAGGGAGAGGACACCTGTTGTAGGTGAAGGGAGAGGACACCTGTTGTAGGTGAAGGGAGAGGACACCTGTTGTAGGTGAAGAGAGAGGACACCTGTTGTAGGGGAAGGGAGAGGACACCTGTTGTAGGTGAAGGGAGAGGACACCTGTTGTAGGTGAAGGGAGAGGACACCTGTTGTAGGTGAAGGGAGAGGACACCTGTTGTAGGTGAAGGGAGAGGACACCTGTTGTAGGTGAAGGGAGAGGACACCTGTTGTAGGTGAAGGGAGAGTACACCTGTTGTAGGGGAAGGGAGAGGACACCTGTTGTAGGTGAAGGGAGAGGACACCTGTTGTAGGTGAAGGGAGAGGACACCTGTTGTAGGTGAAGAGAGAGG